TGACTTGCTATGGGGAGAAGTTAATTTCAAGTTACTTTTATGTCCAGAAGCAAAACAAGGGGCTATTTCAGCATTTGCTCGAGAATCACGGGCATTGGAAGAAAACCTGATCGAGATGAGGGTCATTGACCCTGAAGTTGAAATACAATACTTGTTACAGGTTCGTTACAATTATACAATGCAAATGGTATATACTACATTAAATGCCATTGTTAAAATTAATATTACTTTTCTTTTGGATGCTCGGTATAGTATCTAATTGTATGGAAACAGTTGTGTAGCAGAAAATATTTTACTTGAGACTTCAACTTTTGTATCGAATTTAATCGTTTAATGTCATCTGGCAAGGTGTTATAAAATAATGTACGTGTATTGTATGTGGATTTTTTGCAGTGAGCTGTTGATTATGTCACCTGATGAATATGATTACTACGTCTAGTGTGTCGATTGTGTCCGGGGCACCGCCGCCTGAGGGTGCCTGCGGAGTGCTTAGCCGAGTGGCGCCCGGCAGCGCGAGGGGCTGGCAACCGACGCATCGCCACCACCCCTGCGAGGTCGGCTGCGGCCACCGCGTCGCTACTCAACAAAGCAGTAACAACATAATCGGTGCTATTAGTTGGGGTTACCGCCTGCCCTTTTCCCCGCTATGAACGCGGCCGAGACTCTCAATGAAATACGTCTAATTTCAATTAGGCGGCAAGTCATTTATTGTGGCAGAAAAGAACCTGCCTATTTAGACCCAAAGAAAAATAATGTAAATACTATGTAACCTATCGTTCATGAGCATGGTCATTTTTGTTCATAATTATTTTAATTGTTAATTAAATGTGTTATAAGGGCATATCAGTTTTATTGGCCTCGCAATCCCGCATCCAGAACATCTCGACAGGTTTCAGTACCTACCGCATATTATACTAAAAATCTTGAAGTGTGTGTGGGGGGGGGGGAGCCGGAGGTCGGGAGCGTTTAAAGGTGTTTTATAACGTTTTTGCATATATCTCCGCTACTAGCAATCCTTCAGAAACGTATGTTCTATATAAAATTAAACTAGATTAAATTTTCTATTAAAATGTTCTTAAAAGGTTTTGGTGTCAAATTAACCCTTTTAATGGGCTAGATTCGAAAACTTCTTGCTTTTATTTACAGTAAGCCTCTTTCTTAGAAATTTCGCTTATACGTAAAAAAGAACGTTATGGAACGAACTATTATCAATGTTTATCAATAATTTATTTTTGTATATTTTGCGCAAAAACATAAATATTTTATTAAATATTATTTCGTTAATTCTTTTGAGTACCTGAGGTTGTTGGGTCCGACATTACCTTGGCTACGAAAAGTATCCATAATTTATTTGATAAGGATCTAGTACAAATATTCGTTTTCGCTCGTTTTGCCCAATGTGGCCGGGCTGTTCGGACGGGCTGGAACGCGGCGGTCGGCGCCGCATCAAATCTCGCGGACTCGCCACTGGTAGAGCGACGATTGTGATTGAGACTGCCGCTGCGCCTAGAGCTACGTTATTCTTCTGGTACGATCCTCGCGAAATGTTAGGTTTTTTCACGTGGAATGTAACACCCTCTCTACTATATCTCCTGGTATTATTGTTAAACCTGAGATCTGCTAGGGTTTTGAATTATGGCTGAAATAAACTTCTTACCTTGCAATATAGAGTTTTTAACCATGTTGGCCTCTGCCTCGTCATACTTCATTAAACTAACAAATTCTATAATAAAATTGCTGAAAATGATTGAAAAATATTGGTATATATTCGTTTATGCTTTTTTCTTTAATTATTTTCCAATTTAACCTGGTGCGCTATTTATTCCCCATCCCTCGCGCACAAACACGTACATCTGCGTTCTGCGTGTACCGGAATGGCATTGGAATACGAATGTTAACAAGTATTGCAGCTCAATTTTCAGGCAGATATCATTACTTAAGCCATTTACCGTAGACAGCGTTTGAGAAAGAATCGCTTTATTACTAGCATATAGTTTAAGTACATCCAATCAAAACATATGTGTTATTGTTCTGTCAACATAAAGGTAGTAATAAGAGTCAGCTTGTTACAATCATGCGTACGTGTCGCACATACATGCAAAAACTACTCAAGCGATTTCCATGAAATGTTTACATATTGTTATTATTAATAATGGGAGTGTCTAAAGGGTGGTTTGAATTATATCGGACATGTGGGGACGTTGTTGATAATGATTTATTAGTTTATAACGACTCAAACGCCCCAGAGCTGATCGCAACCCGCCGCGCAGTGAAGAATTAAGCGCGTCTTCACTGCACACAATTATTTTGGACTCGTAGGCTTCCGCGGCCGGAGTCATTGCATTCTTGGCTATCCGGGATGAGCAGCATCTCGGGCAATTGTGCTAACAATTATTTTTGATTATTATTATTATTATTGATTTTTTCGGAGATAGTGTCAAAGTGAATGAATGCACAAATTTGAGGGATAATGTTTTAGTATGGGACATTTGACAACCTTGTTCAAACCAGGACATAGAACATACACATACATGCCAAAAAGTCTTTCATCTATTGGATTTTTTGCACAGCGTAGCAAAAAATATGATTAACAATCGCGTGCATTCGTGTATTTTTCATCTCCCTTAAGCATTAGACCTGTTGGTCTGTTATGACTCGTTGATCACTCCATCTTCTTTTGGATCTGCTAATGCTTCTTTTCCCTCGAGGTGTGTAGAAGAGGAGTTGCTTAGGTAAACGATTATTTTCCATTCTTAGTCCATCATATTCCCATTTTCTTTCTATACTCTTCGATTTTGTTGTTTAGATTGTAAATTCCAAAGTTCTCTCGGATGATTTCGTTTTTCAAACGGTCTCTTCGTGTTACTCCTAGAATTGACTTCAAAAATCTCATTTCAGCAGTCTGTATTCTACTATAGGATTTGGAATGTATTACCCAATTTTCACTTCCCTATAGGCCACAAGGCACTGCCATAACGTCGTAAAATTTTAAATTGAATTTTTAAATTAAATTAAATTTTAATGGTGCTATACATTTCTTGATCTGTCTTTCAATATAAACTTCTCTGAGGTATCATTTACATTCTAGAAATATAAAAGTATTTACTTGTTCAATTATCCTATCTTATAAAACTAGCTTACATATTTCGGAGTGAGGCCCTTGGAAATCCATGAACTTGATTTTGCTGGAAGATATATGCAAATTGTAGAGCTTTGATGTTTTGTACAATTGGTCTCTCTGTAGATTGTCTTCCTTATAAGCAACCTGGTCGTTTGAAAACAAAAGGGTTTTAATAAAATTTGTTCCTTTGAAGTTGTCTTCAATATTAATACGTACAAGCCTCTGCTTCCATTCCTTTACAACGTTGTCAAGGCATATATTAAAAACAATTGGTGGAATACAACAGCCTTGTCTGACCCTTTTGTCAATAGTTCTTCCAAAAGGTGTCCTGATTTTGGCTTAAGGTTTATCCGTGTACCTGATTACTAATTGCGGATAACTCTAATTAGATGTCGTCGTGTTTCCCCTTTTCTCCAATACATTCCACAATTTACTTCCACTGACACTATTAAGTTTAGCCTTAGCGACCTCGGCTATACAGGACGATATAAAACCTTGTGTGTTTGCGTGGAAAAGATCTCAAGCGCAGAAAATGTTCAGAATGATTATGCCTATTGTCAAAAACTGAAAAACGTGAGCACAAACATGCATAAAAGGATAGTAATATAGCGCTAAATAGATTATATATATAAAAGCTGTAAAAGGGACGACTTTGGTGTCCCACTTATTCGGTTCCCAGTGAACGGTTTTAAGCAAGTGATGTACAGGAAAGAAGAGAAATTTAGGAGTGGATATGACTATATATTGAATAGCTCGCAGCTTTCGTTTGTTATTAAAAGCTGCGAAATAAGCGTTGTTTGCAATGTGCGGCTAGAAAGGGCAGGGAATAATGGCGTCACGCGCAACGGGGCAAGTTTGCGCGAAATGGAAGAGCAGTTGTTCATGGTTTGAGAACAGTGTTGTGTGATCGTTAAGAAGATTCTTTGTGGCTATCAATTGTAAATATTCAATGCACTTTCTTATGTATCGTTCTTGTAATATCTAACAACAGAAAATATAAAAGAGATGAGGGCGTTCTGTTGCATACGTTAAGCTAAGGGGGTTGATAGCAGGATTTGCTGTCATAGGCCAAAATAATATCCATGTCTATAATCTGAAGATTTAGGTAAACATAAAACTTAATGCATGTTTACGGATATGCAGTAACGTTTGTACAGTACCTCCTTCTCTGCGATGTAATCGCAGTGTTCACCTAGTTAGCTTTTAAATACAAAAGAGTTGTGGGGCCGGCGTTAAAAGGTGTAATGGAAGGGATTGATTTATTAATTTATTATCTTTTTTATTAGAACATGGATAAGTGTACCGTTATACTATTCACATGTTGTACTTGCTCATTACTAACATTCAAACTAAGCTTCATCTATTACATGGGCGAGGAAGCCAATTAGGTTCCTCTGTTAATGGTCAACTTTTGCGAATTTTTTCAGGAATTCATGTAAAGAAAACTTGTTTTGGATTCGGGTTGGTGATGTAGGATTTCGGCCGAGATTGAGTGTATTTTAAAAGGGATTTTGTGTTATGGAGAAATACGTTGGAGGCGAGGTCATTAATATGATTGGCTATGGGGGTCGAAGAATAGTTCTTTGTGGAGTTGGTCGCTGCTAACAAACCAAGCGGCGTTGGTGCCTATCCTTTGGAACTGGTTTTGGAAGATTTGTATTTTGTTAATTTTAGTTTCTGAGGCAGTGATCCAGACGGGGCTCGCGTGCAAATGGAGGGGTTCTACGATGTAATTGGTCCGAGTTTTGTAAATGAATTTGTATATAATCACGGCTTTGCTGTAGGGTAGTGATGAATTTCTATTGATACTCGAGTTTGTTTGTTTGTTGCGTGATTGCCTTTGGTTTGCACGTGTTGCTGCAGGAAACGTGTGGCTCACCCGACGCGCTCCTGCTCCGTCAGCTCCAGCATCTCGGCGCGCCGAATCACCTGCAGGATGACCTCCTGCTCCGCCTCGTCCAGCGCCGCGTCCGTCTGCCCGTAGCGCTGCAGCTGCTGCGTCTTCACCGACCACCCCGTCCGCAGCCTGCAACACGCGCCTCCCTCAGCGGCCACGGCATGGAAGAACGCGACGCTGCGCGGGAGAGGCTTGGAAACGGGAAATGGATAAGAACCCCTTACACGTAGGGTAGTCAGAATTCACGCACTGTGGACCCGTGTTACCGAAAAATCTAATAACGGCAAAACGTCTGTTTGTCTGTACATACGTCCGTCCGTCCATCCGTCTGTCCGTTTGCCCGTCTGTTCGTCTGTCCGTTTGTCCGTCTGTCCGTCTGTCCGTCTGTCACTTTTTCCGTCTGAACCATGTTAGCGGCTAAACTATTAAAACCGATTTTCTCCCAATTTGATATTCCCTATTTGATCTGGCTGATATCGCGGCTCCTTGAATTTGACACCGATATTGTAATTCTAAAGGATACTTCACATGAAACCCTCAGGAGATATCCAAAATTTTCAAAAAATGACTCCATTGTTTTTTATTCAATTTTGTTGTTGGATAGTGTAAAGGTAGAATCGTGCAGTGCAAATCAAATATTCGTTAAAAAAATTAATTATTTGAAAATTTCAAAAATTCAAAAACGTTTTGGCGTCTTCCTACAACTACAGTTATGAGGTTAGAAGTTTTTTCTTAATAAAATATGTTCGTAAAAGAACGATCTTGAAATATGATAATGAACATTTTTTTTGAAAATTGTAGTACTTTTCCGGCAATTTTGTGTGAAAATACGGCGAGAAAGTGCTTACTGTTTTAGCACCATTAGTTTATTTCTTTTCCATTTCGCTCCTCCTTACACAAACACAGACTCACACTTACTACTCTACCACACATGTCGAGACATCAGTCCGGCGCTTAGAGCTTGTCCTAGTGAGAGTGGTGCTCCCTGCTGGAGATACTATTAAGCACGGAAGGACCACTACCACTTCCCCCATAAATCATTCACTACACTAACGGGACATGACTAAAGCAGTTGAAAAGATCATGCATCGCCAGCGGTGCTAAACTCCCGCCATGTCTCCCGGCATGTGTAGTACAGTAGTTCATTTTAGTGTAAGAGTGTGTAAGAGGTGGGGACAGGACAATGAGAAGATAGGAAAAATCGCACGTCCGTCGCCCGTTTGTAGCCCGTTTGTTTGTACTGCTCCGGCATTCGGCTGGTGGCGATCGGGAAACCAAGGAAAACTTCCGATTAGAGCAGGCAACCGTACTATTCTCCTGCAACTTCGAAGGGGCTGAATTCATACGAATTCGTCGAAACAAGAATTAATTTTTTTAATAGTCCCGGAAACAACATGATTGCAGTAAACAAGTGAAGAAATGCGAAAAAAATGGCATTTATTTATATTGAGCCGACGCTGAGAAACGTGCTGAACAACAGACAAGCGGGGATAAATAAAACAAAATGGAGTGTTTAAACTTATAAACACTCATGTAAGCATTAAGTTTTGAAAGAAAATCAAAAGGAACAATATTTTCAAAAAACAATGAAATAAGGCGAATGTTCGTTATGTAAATAATAGTTAATATAAATAATCTGAAAAGAATTGAAAAATAATAAAATGTAGAGGAAATAACGAAAAAAACATCTAAATTAATTACGGAGAGGAGTGAGATCGGGTACAAACAAACGTAAACCAGAAGACGAAATAACATTCCAGAGTAATTGACGTACGAAGACCACAACAATTGTTTTTAGACTTTGTGGGAAGGTATAGCAACAAGAAGACGGACAGATGCCGGACTTTGTGGGAACCGCATGGTTAATTACACTTCTTTAAATTTACTTATTTTTACTTGAACGATCTGCAAGGGACGTTATTGAGCGAGAGCCGAGGATTCCAGGGAAAAGAGTCGGATAGGAGGGGTTCTACAACGCCACCGCGAGGCCACTTAGGGCGGCGTCGCCGGCTGCCTATTCTCCTTTCCGCGAGTTCATCCACAAAGGACCTTTGTCCGCGGGTGTTTGTGCAGAGGATGTGAGGAGAGCGTTACTTCTGCCGGTGCACAGCGATCATGTTTCCTTTAGAAGCCTCTTCCCCCGCCCCCTGCGCACTCAGGGGACACATGGGGTCTCTCGCCCCCCCCCCCGACTTAGCTGGCTCAGGCCATCACTTCGTGTCACTGCAGTGACTCTAGCCACGAGGGCCTAAGGTTCGAATTCAGACAGTATAAGGTTTGTTCGACACTAGCTACGTAGCAAAATCGAGCTCAGCCGCTGTCTGCAGGAAAATTCTAGAGGCCTGTTACTCTGATTGGCAGTTTTCTGGGGTTTGGTGTATAATTGATTACAAATAATCGTTTTTGTTTAAATACCTGTGTGTGTGTGTGTGTGTGTGTGTGTGTGTGTGTGTGTGTGTGTGAGAGTTTTAATTCACCGCCGAGAAACGTTACAATTGGTGTCAGTTGCGTGGGGTGTGTTTAAATCAGTGAATGTGTGGTGAATTAAAACCTTAATGAAGATGAGTTTTGCAAAAACCTTCGAGATCTCAAAGAGAGTTGAAAAAGGAGTTAAAAGACAGGGAACAAGACACCACCGGAACGAAAGCAATATTACAAGAGCGTCTAGCTAACGCGATGCCGACAGTAGGAGAGAATCCAGAGAGTTTTCTCTTCGAGACGACCGGAAACTTTTCCAAAGCATTAGAAGGACTGAGAAAGGATCTAGAAGAAATAATAACAGGACATTTCAGAAGGGTAGGGGAAAAAGTAACTTCCAGAATGCTAAAAAACGGAGTGAAAATTACACGTCAGAAGAAAAATTGACAGAAAATTCCAGAATTTCGCAAGCAAAACTGTTAGAAAACCTGGAGCAACAGATACCACTGAATAATACATTGGTCCGAGGAGATAATTTTAAAGAACGAAGTAAAAATAGAGGAGAAAATTTCGAAGAACGAAGAGAAAGTTGACAAATACATTAGAAGCAGAAGAAGAAGAAGAAGTAGCAGAAGAAGAAGAAGAAGAAAAAGCAGCAGAAGACGAAGTTTTTAATCGAGCTGTGGAAAATGAAGATGGCTCTCAGAAGAGGATAAATGATGTCTACCGAACTGAAAGGTTGCTGAATGGAAAACCGCGGGTCGTCCATTCCATTAGCCTGGCCCCGTTCCCGGGAGGTAATGATAATGATGGAGAAAACACCGCAGGAGTTTGTGAGCTGGACATGAAGTTCACTTTTGACGTGTTTTTCTCATCATGGCGGAAATGATATAGTGCGTTATAGTGTAACAATGGAAGTGCAACAGGATCTGTTTACGGTACCCTCGGAATATTCATTAGCGCATTGTGTCGCTCAGGATCTAGATATGACCAGTGGTGTTGCTGCTGTATTCAAGAGAAAATACAGGAGAATAGAAGAATTAGAGAACCAGCAACCGGATATTGAGAAAGACCTGCTATTCCGCGACGTGAGTAAAGATGTGTATTTTGTCATCACAAAAAGAAAGTCACAACGCAAGGCCACCTATCAGGATCTTGGGAAAACTCTGCTTGAATTACGCCAACAAGTACTGCAAGACAACGTCTAGACGCTTGCCATGCCCAAACTGGAATGCAGTTTTGATGGACTGGACTGGAGAGTAGTGAGAAGCATGTTGGAAGTAATCATCCGGTACACTGGGGTGAAAATCTTAGTCTGCAGCTACCACCAGGGGATGTCACCATACCCGAAGAAGACAATAGACTGTCAATTCTTCTCCAAGTGCAATAGAAGCTCCAGCTGCATGATTTTACTAAAAGCGTTGCGGGACGGATCGCATTTAAGGAGGGGGCACATCATCTGCCCGGATTCGATGCGCGGATTGCGTCATCTGACGCCCCCCTTGCACTGGAAGGTTCCGGGATATTCGCGAGTCGCGGGAGAGGTGGAGAAAGTGCCAGGTGTGTCGAAACGAGCGCCGGCCAGGTATAAATGCGCCGCTGCCGGCGGCCACGAGTCAGTGTAAGTAGTAGTCGGAAGAGAGCAGACGCGAGTCAGTTAGTGTATGTAATTAGTCAATTAGTAAAAAGTAAGTCTGTCGGTGTGTGAGAAGTGGGAGCTGTGCTGTAAAGTGTGCATTGCGGTGAACAGTGGTGCAGTGGTTGAACAGCAATCAGCAGTCTAAAGTCTGCAGTGGAAGCTGAGCTGTGAAGTGTGCATCGCGGTAAACAGCAGTGCAGTGGACCCTGGTCTGCGCAGTGAATTGTGGTCTGCGCTGTGAATTGTGGTCAGTGCAGAGAAGTGTGATCTGAGCAGAAAATTGTGGTCAGCTCAGGGAATTGTGGCCTGCGCAGGGAATTGCGGTCTGCGCGGGGAAGTGTGGTCTGCGTAGGGCATTGTGGTATGCGCAGGGAATTGTGGTCTGCACAGTGAACTGTCGTCAGGGTAGTGGACCGTGGACAGTGCATAGGACTGTGCGATAGTGTAGATTGCAAAGAACAGTGTAAATAATCAGAAGAAGTGAAGTGTGTAAATAAATAATCAAGAGAACGGAGTCGTGTGTAAGAAAAATAATTAAATGAAGAACACAAGGACTATGTAATATATCTGCAAATAGATCACGTTGTTTTAGTGTGTAATTGATTACAAATAAACGTTTTTGTTTAAATACCTGTGTGTGTGCGTTTTAATTCACCACGGAGAAATGTTACAATAGAAATATAAATCGAGAGCGCGGTTGCTCAAAGAATATGCCTTAGACTGGCGCACAGGTAGAAGCTTCAAAGAGCGCCCGAGTCGAAGAAACGGTTCTCTAATATGTACATTTTAAAGTTCCAGAATTGTATTTTGAAATTTATTAAAAATTTCATTCTGTTATAAAAAATGTTTTAAGTGATATAATAAACAAAAAATTATATCAATCTAGTATAAATCATAGAGTTCACAGATCTTAATATTACTTTCTTAATATGACTTCCTTCGGGCTGTTTGCTTTCCCTGAATCTGCTTACTTTGCATTGGCCCAGTTATGGTTTTAGTCTACTTGAATGGAAGTTTATACTCACAAATTTTGATACAAATTTAAATGTCATGAAAATAAATGAAATCAACA